TACACACACAGATTATTCACTTATATATATATTTCCTACAACACCACAGTATCACCTTATCTCAGATCTGATCGTTTTTCTACAGCTGGCCATGCACACATCATCAACTGATTTTACACACAACCAATTCAGTCTTCAAATTTGATTCTGGATGTCTGTGAAGCAGGGAAATCAGGAGAAGAAGGGTTTCTTAGCGTCCTCTGGCTTATCACTGTATACAAGAGTTCTATTTGTGTTGGCTCTTGGTAAAGGTAGACAAACGAACTTGATCAGTAGCTAGAGCTTGCTTTTGCTAATATTAATGCTAGGCCTGAGAGCAGCTGAATAGAAAGGAGGAGGAGGAGGAGGCAGGGCAATGCATTTGAGCAGAAAGAGCATAGGTTGTAGTAGTTTTACAGGCCACATTCTGTAATGTTTTCACTGGAGGTGGTTGAGAATGCAACGCCCAGCATTACTGTTTTCTGCCACATATATTAACGTTCCTACAAAGGCTCCCTGGCTTGCTACAACTTCCCAATTTAAGAAGGCCCCAATGGGGGACTTTCCTCATAAGATCTGCACTTGAGATTTTATCACAACGTGACAGCCATTGTAAGGTTTTACAAAGAAATACAGGAAATTGACACAGACACTTTACCACTTACCACTAAGTGTAGGAACAACACGCTCCACCCATGAGTACTCGGAAATTCTCTCTTCCTTTCAAAGATATTTCTGAAGCAAATTCATGTTCCTCAGCTGGGAAGAGAACTTGTAAAAAAAAAATGGCAAAGAGATCATCTGTCACCATTAGCAAACACATTGTTCACATTTGCGTCAATCTTGAGTACCTCTCAGTATTATATTGAAGTACTGCCAGATAGGATGTTGATGGCGGGAAATGGCTTGCTAAGGACTCTAAAATGAAAACAGTGGTGTCAAGGCCTTTCCACACTGAACTCTCCTGAGTAAGCAGCTCTCCAGTGTTGCCCACAAAACCATGGTTTCAGCCAGTCCTTTAACTCAATGAAAGGCTGGACTCGAGAAACTCAGTTACTCATTTATTAAGGCACCTTAATAATTGAGAACTCCTTCCCAAGAAGAGAGCCCCAGAAGAAAACATTAACCTTTTATACTTCTCAAAGACAGCATCATTATCAGAAACTTCATGATTGGTTACACAGTTGAGCATGCACACTCAGCAACTAACATCCCATAATAACACTACACATTTTTAACATATATGTACCAGTGTCCATAACAATGTTTCTTCAAGTCTTATATAGTTTCACATCTGCTTCTTTTCTTCTGTCTTTTCCTCCTCCGGATTCCCCTGGACTTCACAGCTATTTACCTTATCTAATCAACATCTTCCCACTCCAGCCAATTTGCAACCTTAAAACTGAGATTGATGGCACGCTCCATTGTGGAATGCGAGTCTGGTAGTTTATTGCTTACATGTTCTGGTGAGGAATGCAAGCCTGATAGTTTATTGCTGACATGCTTTGGTGAGGGGTGTAAGTTCAATAGTTTAAGACCCCAGCCTGACTTCAGCTCTATCAATTAATTCCCATTTTGCTGACATCACCAAGAACTCACAGCTGATGGCTGGGAAAGGTGTAAAGACTCTTGAATACACTGATGCCAGATACTAGTATTTAATCATTGATGTTATTCAGTGAACTTGCCTTGGTGACCATAGCAACTGTACGCCACGTAACTTTGACAATGGGTCAGCTTAGGGTGGGTGGGGAAGGTGACAGAAACATTTGTCAGCCACAACATTTTATGACCAGCATACTAGAAAAATAATATTCTTTGTAACTAAAGAATATCTTGCCATGACAGCACCTCTCTTATTATTGTCTATCCATTATCTGGTCAGGAAGTATTAGAGATGAGGCATTTGCATGATTAGTTAAGACTGAATAATTATTTATCCTATTTGGGAAACTTTGGTCCTATGTTGGTTTCTTAGCTGTGATATAAAATGCAGCCTTTTTTGAAGCAGAACAATGAACTAGATGATGATGATGATGATGATGATGATGATGATGATGATGATGATGATGATGATAATGATGATGATGATAATATTGTTCAGCTGTGGATTTTGGAATGATGATGTTCTGATTCATAAGTATAAAATAGTATATCTCTTTCCTGGGGAAAAAATTACATAGTTGTCTCATATCCCTTTGGTTAAGTACCATTCCCTAGAAGTGTCATTGCTCTGTGAGTTAAATCATATCACACATCTGTGCTTTTTAATCTCTCCACAAACATTATAGTGGCCTTCCTACATTTTATTTCATTGCTTCCTGACTAGGTTTCTAATTTATTGTTATGAGTTTTAGTTGATCCTCATTTCTAAGGCACTCAATTTATCCCATTTTCCTGTAAAAAACAATACTGTATGCTATATAAGATAAGGCTGTGTTTTTTTCCCGGCTAACTGATAGTGCTGTTGGACTCAGAGAAAAAGGTGTTTTGGAGTGCATGGAGATAGCTGCCCAAATCTGCCACTTTAAGGAGTTGCAGACAGATGTTTCAGGTGCACTCCTGTATGCTCTGAAGCATTGTGCAGCACTATAGTCTAGGGAGTGTGAATGAGGACATGAACAAGGGCTGCTCCTCAAAGTTTTATACACCAGTCTCTGGATGTCATAGTCAATCAAAGTGGTCTAGTGTTAGCTGCTTGATTGCTCCCACTTGGCTCCCCTTGCCTGGGAGACTTCTGGCTCATTTCATATTAACTGGGAACCTGGAATGGTTCATTCCACTCTAAAAAAACAGAGTCATAAACCATATTTGATTTCTTGGCTTGTGGTCCTGCTGTGTTACAAAACAAACAATCCAAAGTTACTGGTTCACACACTAAACAAATCATAGTTGGAAACATCCTGAGTCTAGTTTAAGCATACAGTAGTTTCATTAATCATAAGCCCATGATGTCTTAGTACAATCTCTGACTTCTTTCTGCACTGATATTTAGTTGAACTGACAATTAATCTTTAACTCAGAATATTTGTGTTTCGCATTTTAAGATATCTATCTCTGGATCGTTAATTCTCATTTCAGAGACTACAACTCGGTAGGCATGCCTAAGGCATTCTTGTAATGCATATGAATAAACCTGATGTTCCTATTTTTACACTGGTATAGAAGTGCAATTCTCACACAAATGATAGTAGCACTGAAGTGAAATAGAAGCAATGCTCTTGTCACTAATGGTTACACTGAAACTGACAGATGTAAAACTGAATCAATATTACTCTGAAAGTTTGGTGTCCTTGACAGAAAGTTATCACTTTCAGGAGGCTTAACAGTGCAATAACCTGAATAGATCAAGTGAGTTCTGAATACCGTAATGGTAGTGGATTATTTGGGAGAAGAACGACTGAAGACCATGGTGTCATGATTCCAAAATATTTAGGTCTTTTCCCACTTCTGAGATCAGAAAAACAGGAACAACGAAAGCAATGAGCATATAATTGGAGAGATCCTTAATAAATTATTCCTGAGCTTTAAATAAGTATTTAAATATCCACCTGATATTAGTAAGATTCAAGTCTTGTGTAGTAATAAATTATGTATTCCTGATTTTCTACTTATAAAACCCTGTGACTTTGGTTGGAGGTTTTAGCTGAGCTTCACTGGAACAAGGGCTTTGCAGTACTGTATAAGGGCTTCATTTCAGCACTAGGTCATATGTATGAAACAGCCCAAGTGGGAAAAATGGATCGAAAAGCAGAGATTTTAAGCATGTGAAGTACTACTTTCCTGATGTTACTTACAACATTATAATCTAAAATATACCAGCAACCCTGTCCAAATAAAGAAAAGAAAAGAAAAAAATGTATGAAAACATCCAATTTGAAATACCAGCATGTTTTCACTGCTGTTACAGCACAAGTGCAGTTCATATTGACATTTACCAGTGTCTTCCATTTTCACTGGCTGGTTCTTCAGTATTCCATAAATGAAAAAAAAATGTATTCATTTCATAAAGCATTCAGCACTCTGTTCCAAACCACTCTTGTTAGTATACGGATCCTCCCTCTGTCCTGAAATCCTTGACCATAATATCTGATATCACTCTTCACTTGTTTTCATACCTACATCACCAACATCATGCCTGCCCAACGCATGTGGACTATAACTGTGATCATGCTGGAATGTACTGTAATTCTGGGAGCTGAAATTAAAATACATCTGAGGAACATCAGATTAAGAAAGGGTCTGGCGACTGAGTTAATTATCTAACTTTTCTTCTAGTTATACCTATGATTATCACCTCCCCCTTTTTTAAAAGTCTTGCCTACATTTTTATTCACTGATGTATTTCTTTTATTGAATTTATGACCTGCTTTGCTCCTTGTGCAAATATTCAAGGAGGCTTACGACAATTAAAATGCTCTGATCCCCAAACTAAAACAGTGCTATGACATAAAATAACTTAATATCTTTTTTTTTTCTCAGTGCTTAACCTTACTGATTATAGCAGCATCAGCTATCATGGGATACAGTGTTAAACACTGGGAATTTTCCACCACACTGAATGAACAGTTGGCCTGGCTCTTTTCACTAATGTCATCTAAGAGTAATCATGCCATACCATATATTTTGGCAAACACTTTCTTGGACTTAATATAGCACCTCTTTTTATGATTCCAGAATGTTGAGTGCCAAAACAAGATCCACTTTTCTCTTTGAGGCAAAATTGTAAGCATGTTAATTTTTTTAAAAAGAGAAATTGCAAAACAAATTCTACACAAGAGCATGACAAGAAGATTCCCAAGATGTTTCCTGAACTGTAGGTGAGCCTTCACTTTGCTCATAAATTAACTAGGCAAGGGCCTGGTTACAAAATGAGGGCCAAGAATCTGCATTTAGGTGTTTGTGCCAGTCTTATTTTCTTTAATGACTCACAAATGGATCTCTGTATGCTTGGTGATCTTTCTATCCTCCCCAAAGAGGCTTTATTCTCTAACTATTTTCTTCTATTTTTCTTTCTACAGTATATCGCATTTGCCTCCCTCTTCTTCATTCTGGTTTCCATCACTACCTTTTGCCTCGAGACCCATGAGAGATTTAATCCTATCGTTAACAAGACAGAGAAGGAAATTGTTGGGAATGACACCCAGGTGCGGGTCTATCAGGAGACTGAGACGGAGGCTTTCCTGACCTACATTGAAGGGGTCTGCGTGATTTGGTTTACTTTTGAGTTTCTGATGAGGGTCATTTTCTGCCCCAACAAGATGGAATTTATCAAAAATACCTTGAATATCATTGACTTTGTGGCCATTCTCCCTTTTTACCTGGAGGTTGGACTCAGTGGCCTGTCTTCCAAAGCTGCTAAGGACGTTTTGGGTTTCTTGCGGGTGGTCCGGTTTGTGCGAATCCTGCGAATTTTCAAGCTGACCCGCCACTTCGTAGGACTGCGGGTTTTGGGTCATACTCTCCGTGCCAGCACAAATGAATTCTTGCTGCTCATCATCTTCTTGGCACTGGGCGTCTTAATCTTTGCCACGATGATCTACTACGCCGAGAGAATAGGTGCTAAACCCAATGACCCTAGTGCCAGCGAACACACACATTTTAAAAATATCCCCATTGGCTTCTGGTGGGCTGTTGTCACCATGACTACCCTGGGCTACGGAGACATGTATCCTCAGACTTGGTCAGGCATGCTGGTGGGGGCCCTCTGTGCTCTTGCAGGTGTGCTGACCATTGCCATGCCTGTACCCGTCATTGTGAACAATTTTGGAATGTATTACTCCTTAGCTATGGCTAAGCAGAAGCTACCAAAGAAAAAAAAGAAGCATATCCCGCGGCCGCCCCAGCTGGGATCCCCCAATTATTGTAAATCTGTCATAAACTCTCCACACCACAGTACTCAGAGCGACACATGCCCGCTCGCCCAAGAAGAAATGTTAGAAATTAACAGAGCAGGTAGGAAACCTCTTAGAGGAATGTCCATCTGACTTGTAATCTCCATCCTTTCTAGAGCTTGAAAGATTCAGTCAGACTGCTTTCGTAGCCCAATGGGTAGCACGTTATCCCATTACTGTCCCACTACCACAAATGGAATCATGTGTGGGACATACAGGTTGCAGGGACAAACGACTAACAGGAGAAGCTGATAAACAAAACTTAGCAGTGCACAGGTCTGTTAGGAGCCTTCAAATCAATCCTGTTTAACAGGATACTTAACGGATCTGAAGGAATAACTAGATTGAGCAGAAGAATATTTTTAGAGTTCTACAACTTTCACTGACAGACTATGTTTTTATTTCAAGATGGTTCTCAAAGTTTGTCTGCTGCCTTAGCATATTAGCAGCCAAGGGCACAGTTTTTGCCCCGGAAAGAAAACACAAATATACAATACATTTTCCTGTAGCTACTTTCCTTTTGTACTTAGCTACTTCTAAAGTTGCAGAAAATCATGGATTTGGGGGGGAGGGGGGGAGGTTAGAGGAACAAAGCAAACAGTAGCTTATATCTACATGCAGATCCATAAGAAAAACACTTTTTTCCCCCCAAATGGTTATTTACTCATTAGAATAACAGCTTAGATTTCCTAAAGACATGTGATGGGGTTCAGAAAGGATTAAATGTAAGGATTTTATGCTGTGGCAGGCAATTCAACCCATTTGATTATAGTAGAATCATACAGAAGCTTAGCACTTAGAATTCAAAACATGAGGTGCATCAATGCTTTCTCGTGAAAACTTAGTCTACAATCAACAGCTTCTTCAACCATCTACTATTAAAAGGCTGATTGAAAAAGGGGAGCACGGTGGCCATTTGGGGCAGATTTGTTCTGAAGAGCCTTGAGCGATAATCTCACAGGGTATCTTTTTTAAACAATGATGATAATAATGATGATAGTGATAAATGAAAGCAATAAGAAAATATTCCCATTCAGACAAAACTATTTTTCACATTGGTTCAACATAGAAGTTGGGGAATAAAAATACTAGTCATCATGGAATATGTTATAATATCCCATGGCTAGTGGTCAGTTATGGGACTATCTCAGTTTTATGAGATTCCTCAAAGAGCACACAAACATACAGGGCTTTGATCTGATTAGTTCAACCCCATAATCTACCTCTACCCATGGAATATCATTGACCTATTCTGTGGAAAAAAAATGTAATTTTAAGGAAAATAGACACAAATTATTATGGCTGGTGAAATCAATGTAAGTTGCAAGCCATGTGCAATATTCAGCCTAAGTGTTAGGAGGAAAAACACTTCTGATTGGTATATATTGAGAAAAAAATCATTTATATAGCAGTTCGTGCTAAACTTTAGTGATTAAGAAATCTGTTTAAAGGATGAGCTTATGATGGTCTTGCAGTACCATTTATTTATTTACTTTTGTGGAAAATCTAATGTATTGCTCCATGTGGGTGAGGACTCTTCTCTTTCCATCTCATAGCCATGCATGTGGATGCTATTGAAAGAACACAAAAGAAGTACAACTTTCCTTTGTGTGTGTGGCTTCACCAGTGCCAAATGCTAATTTCTAGGAGATGACAAAGTGATAGTAGAACTTTTCAGTTATTTCTTTGTGGAACTTGAAAATCCATCCAGATGGGTAAAAGTTTTCATTTTTGCCTCTGTTCTTCCCTGTGGATTTTTTTTTTAATCCTTTAATTTAATTTGAAGACTTCCATTGCTCCAGGCTGGCCACAATTCATGCAAATGACTGCCTCTTTACTATTTTACTCTTTGCACATACCTACATGATTTGTCTCTGCCCATTCTTCTCAGGTTGCAAATGCTTATCACAAAGTCATCACCAAGAATAATGCAACTTCTTCATGAGTAAAGAAGTACATGTATGATTCTGTAACACAGGGACGATAAAACAATGCTTACGAAGCAGTATGCTGCATATTTCCAATTGCTGAGCAATGTCCCTGCATATCGGGTGCCTGTAGTCCAGAGGAGAACCATTTGGTTTTCGTGGAGGCTCTAAAATCTTTTGTCACCCATGTGTGTAACAAGGTTCTGTGGCCACCTGTTATCGTTGGTCTATTTCTTCTTACATATGGAATTCTGTGCAGTATGAAGTGAACTGGACTGTATATGGCATAAACCAAGCAGCTACTTTGTACTGGTTATGACTGGACTAGCACTTCTATGCAGCCCAGTTCACATTAGGGTGTCAACAAATGGTTCTATACATGAAAAGGGTTATGTGCAGAAAACAATTGGCCAGCTTGCATGCATGAGCCTTAACGCCAACAGTTTGTTCCTGCTTTCCATCAGCTCCAAGAGCCCATTTGTAATTTGTTTAATAGAGTTGGATTATAGTACCTGGTTGTTTATTCAGTACAATTGAAGCCAATGTTTAATACTTAATTGGCAGGGAGGGCAGTAAGGAATTGAGGAGAGTTCTGTTATATTGAGAATCAAGAGATCTGGATATTCCAAGGAGATCACGTATACCTTATTTTCTGTGTATGAGCGCCATCAGCACTCAAGCTTCTAAGTATCAGTCTCAGGACTTAGATACTCCAATCCTGGAAGTGAGAAGAAACCGAAGGGAATCACAACTAACACACAATTATCAGTGGCTATGGAATAGATAGCATCTGTAGATACAGTATCTGTAGATGCCCACTTTATCCTAAGTAACTTTAGCTACTCTCATCTCCAGATCTGAAGAAACATGCTTTCTTTATCATTTTATTATAATTCTTACCATGTAGTGATCAGCTACTACTATGTTGTACAGAATACAAGGAAGCAAGCTACTTCAGAGGCAGACTTAATGAATGTTCTGTGCACCTTGCAATAAGATATTGATCAGCTGTAGTCAGTTTCTGGTGCAGTAGGAAATTTTAAAAAGAGATTATTCTACTCTTAATGTAGTGAGATATCCCCGATTTCATTTAAATCTTCCTCTAATGGCCGATGTCATTGCCAACACTAGTAAATTCCAGTGCAAAAATATTCCTACACGTTTGCACAGGTATCTGTTTTCTCCGGCTTTTACAGTCCGTGTTAAGGAAGAGACAGGGTTTTGTTTTGTTTTTTCCTAAAGAGTTCTGGAGCGATTAAAAAGCGACTGAAAAGAGTAAAATGGGTGTATTTGTGCACCAGGTATCTAACTGTCATCAGTCTGGGAGAAATATGTGATGTGGCTCTGTGCTTGTTGCAACTTTCCAATGTTTAGAAGTAGGGAACACGTTCTAGGCTATCAGATGAGCTGAAGCAACTGCCATGCCCGGCCTCAGGCCAACTCTAATAATGTAGTAAAGGTATAATAGAGGATAATATGTATGTTTGCTGATTCTCCTAAGGTAATACAAGCCTATGCACCACACAACTTCATTTAGGATGGTCTAGATGTCTCGGTTTTGAGGATTCATTAGAAACTGCATAACCAGCTTCACGACAGGATTGCACTACCTACCTCATAATGGATAGTTTACTTTAATAGAACTGTTTTGCCTTATTGAAGGAAAAAGTGATTCCTGATCTTAGTTGCACAGAAGCAAAATCACTAAAGCCAACGAGGTATATTTGAATGCAGTAAAAGTCAGGCGAGATTTTGTGTTCGGCGAGCATATTTGCAGTTTTCAGAGCTTGATGTGAGCACTTTCACAAAATGGCTGCCGTAAAAGCACTTACCTATTCACATTCCTAGATATGTTCAGTCAAACAACACCAGTGTATCCAATGGCAGGCTAGTGATGGTGCTCCCTGCCTTCCCCTCTAACCAACCGTCCTCCCCCTGCCTCCAAAATGCAGTCTGTAATCTCCTGTTAGTTTTGCATTTTTCCTGGGACTTTCCTGGAGCTGCAGCCATCCACCATTACAGCATTATTTCTAAGAATGCCTGTGGGGCCCATGTGAGCCCATAAGCACTCTTGCAAATCTGTATGGAGTAAACAGCTGGCTCTTTGCTTTGCAGCAAGACAGCTTCCCACTGCTTTGATTACAGAAAAAACTGGTGGAACGTGGAGTCTGGTGGCGGTGTCCACAGGCATCGTGACGTTCCCATTACCTATCCCAAATGGAACAGTACATTTGGTCATGTCATCACTTAGGAGTAAAGGGTGCTCTTTGCATGCCGAAGGCCTCATATCCATTTCCAATACATCGAGGGTGAGCTTGGAAGTTCTTCTGGAACAATGTAGAATCGCTCCCATTTCATATAAAAATATGCACCAAGTAGGACCAGTTTTGCCTAGCAAAAGTTGGCTCCTATGTTCCTGTGAAAACAACCCTAAACTTTACCCTTCATTAAATGGCAATTTTACCCCAGTTCATCCCACACCTACACGGGCAAAAGACAATGAAGTCATCCCAGTGTTCAGATTTACCACAGGCTTAAATAACAGATATAACAAATACATATTTGTTTTAATTTGGAGCTAGTTACAGAAGCACCATTGTTATGTTTTTTGGACTGGAGCCCTTACCTTTCTTGATATTTTTAATCAGGACCAAGAGGAGAGAATTTGCGTTTCAGACCTTTCCCTGAGGGAGAGAAAAATTACCAGAGATTAACAGGCCCTTTGTTTACAAAAAGAACAAAAACAAACAAGCACAATAGGTTTCAATCACTTAATTTAACACTCTTTGCTGCAATGATCAAGGCATACTGTAACTATGCTCCAGCTCCTCATAGACCAGAGAAAAGGATATAAACATGGTGAGGAAACACGTTCCATTTCCATGGGTAGGCATGGAAAAGAGGTTTACATAGCAAACTTCCTCGCTTGAGCCTATTATACTGAGAAACGCTTTTTAGAGATCTTGCTAACATTACACTGAACATTACTCTGCTGAGACTGATGAGGCTGGAGAAGCTCATTGTGTGACTGCGTAATATCATACAATGAGAAGTCTAAAGCATTAGGAGGTTAAGGAGGAAAACATGATTGAGGGATGCAGCTTTATGAAATGGAGTTTACGATGCTTATTCA